ATGCAAGGCATTCTTTCTCAATCATCGGATATCGAGACTCAGCGCCTACCAAGGTCCGACTGAGGTAATAAACTGCCTGTTCGTGACCGTTATCATCGTCTTGCGCTAGTAAGGCACTTATCGAGTGGTTCATCGCCTTGAGATAAATCAAGAACGGTTTACCAGATTTCGGTGCAACGAGAACAGGAGGGTTCGCCAGATATGTTTTGATATCTTCGAACGCTTTTTGGCAGGCATCATCCCAGATGAATGATACTCCTTTCTTGTTCAGCTTAGAGAACGGTTGGCACTTCCCAGAAAGATTTGAGATGAAACGCCGGATATAAGCTAAACGCCCTTGCAATCCTCTGAGTTCTCTCAGATTCCTCGGGGGCTGCAATTCATGTATCGCCTTCACCTTATCAGGATCGATATGTATACCCTTAGTGGTGACGACGAACCCAAGAAATTTTCCGCTGGACATTCCAAGAAATGATTTAGTGGGGTTCATCTTCAACTGATGACTCCTCATGAGATCGAACATTGTCTTCAAATCCTTGATGTGATCTTCCTTGTTGCGGCTTTTCACAACCAAATCATCAACGTAACATTCGACTGTTTTCCTGAGATGTTCTTGGAAAATCTTAGTCATCGCTCGCTGGTATGTGGCACCGGCATTCTTCAGGCCGAAAGGCATCACCGTATAGCAGAAAACGCCGAGGGGTGTTCTAAACGCCGTATGCTTCTCATCCTCTGGATGCATCTTGATCTGGTTATATCCCGAAAATCCATCCATGAAGGACATCCTCTCAAATCCACATGTATTGTCGATAATGACATCCGTGATCGGGAGAGGGAAATCGTCTTTCGGACATGCTTCATTCAGGTTCCTGAAGTCGATGCAAATCCTGATTTTGCCATTCTTCTTCATGACGGGAACGATGTTGGCTAACCAGTCTGGATGTTGTTCCTCTCGGATAAATCCTGATTCGATCAACTTCTTAACCTCTGCCTCAATGGCTTCCATAATCTGCGGACGAAACCGTCTTTGCTGTTGCTTGACAGGTTTGGCATCCGGCTTGATATCGAGGCGGTGCATTGCGACATTGGGGTCGAGCCCTGGCATGTCTTCATAATTCCATGCGAAGACGTCGATATATTCCCTGATGAGAGCAATCAATTCCTCCTTCTCATCTGGGGGAAGACTGTCGCTGATGAATATAGGCTTTGGGTTAGCTTCATCACCCATGTTAATCTGGACTATTTTATCTTCAGTGGGTGGTTCTCTTTGCTCGAACCTATCGCCATACTGCATATTCAGATGGTGAACCCACGGGTCTTCCCATGTTGGCATTTGATCGTCGTCTTCCATGGTGGATGGATCAGCTGTAGTCATGTTCGCCATTAGGGTTTTGAAAACTTCTCCCAGACTTGTATCGGAGTCCCACTCTGAAGCATCGGGAGAGTATCCCTTCTTGGCTTTGTTAGCAATTTGATCGATAATTTGCCAACCACATTCGTCATCTGATGAAACATAACCTAAGCCTCGCCCATATTTATAATAATCCTCAGGTTTACCTTTTGGTACATATACTGCTTTGGCTGGATTACGAGGACCTCGATCGAAGTATAAACCTTCTCCGAGTGTGAAATCGTAGCCCTGCTTTTCCATGAGCTTGCGCGCTTCTGGACTATACTTGGATAGATGTCGACCAGGTTTGTCATCATCTTCGTCTTCACTTAGGAAATGATCTGGTAACGGAGAGCTTTTTCCTTTACCGTAAATCACTTCTTTAGCACCTCTTACTTTGTTCGGGATGACCATGGTTGTTCCGAAAGAATGCTGGAGGTGTTCCTTCGTTACATAGGATGATCGGATCGGCATATACAACTCAGGATTGTCGTACAGCTCTTTTATCACATCATCAAGAGACAAGGAGTACTCTAAATCATCTTTTATTGCAATATCGGCAAGTTGCCAGTTACAACCTCCATCTGACGATTGTTCATCGTCAAGATTGATTACAAAGGGTACAATGTCATTTAAAACAAAACCGCCATTGTAATCGAATCCGGCTTCAGAATCAGCTTCTTCTCCGCTGTCTGTGCCCTGGGCCGATGGTTCAGTATCGGATTCGTTACCATAAAGGAGAGAATCGGTGAAATAATTCTCATACCCCTTGAATGGTTGCTTATCCGCGACCACCGTCCTAACCTCATTGTCAGTGTCGACATACTTCAAACACTGATGGAGAGTAGAGGGAATTATCACGTTACTATGGATCCAAGGCCGACCCAATAGTAAGTTGTACGAAGTCTCCGCATCGATCACATAACACGTGACTTCTGTCTTCAGATCTCCCATCTGGCACTTCACCCGGATCTTACCCAAGGGTCTTGACCCACTAGTGTTGAATCCATAAATAACAGTGCCTGTGGACGCCAACTTGCTTACTGGGATGCCGAGGAAATGCATCAATCGAAGCGGCATAATACTCACAGCAGAACCCGGATCCACTTGGATTCGGTTGACTTGGCTGGAGCCAATGTATCCGACGAAATATAACGGCCGATCGTGGTTCGAATTCTTCGTCTGCATATCTTCTTTGGTGAAAGTAATGCAGGGAAGGTTCTTAGTCGCTATGTTGCACTGTTGACTCAGCGGTTCTGGCTGTTCAGGTATCGGCTTGACTTGAGTCAGAAATACCTCTGCATTGGCCAAAGCTTCTTGTAGGGCCTCCCTGGTTTCTTTGGATAATCGCAGCAACTCATACAGCGTTATCCGTGCAGGAATGTTGGCTAATTGCGCCATAATGTCGAAGCTATGCGGAGTCTTCGAGCTTTCCGGTTTGTCTCTTCCAATTGGACGACTGAAACGAGACTGCTTCGGATTCTGTACCTCTTGGGGATTCTTCTCTTTTGGTTTATTCACCGGTTGTCGTAGAGCTTCTTTACCCGGTGTGGGACTTGCAATCACTCCCATCTCCGTGAGAGTTTTGGCTGGTCCCCGCTTGTTCACCCCCTGCTCACTAGGTGGCGGATAATTGTAGTGGTATTCATTTCCGCTCCGTGTCGCAAAAGCTTCTTGTTCTTCTTCAGAGAGCAGGAAAGTGGAGATTCTTTCGTCATCTTCCCCTGGGATAGCAGAGACTCCATAACAAGACTTCCCTTTTCCTTTAGACTTCCTCCCGGATGACGAACCGGCCCATTGTTCATCTCCAATCAGATCTGGATGAACCCAAAGGATTTCGCCATTTGGGGTTGTGTGCGGCACAAGTCCCTTTTGGCGCTGTCCGTGCGGATCGTCATTCACCGTCTTCATCCCGACTTTGGTGACGCGTTTTGGCTCGAACCAAGTTGTAGGCACCGACCCAAAACTGATTGACACTGCGTTGGCCCCCACATTCTTGGCTGGTTTCGGGGTTATGACTCCTACGTCGATTAACGCCTGGATCTTGTCCTTGAGGTGGTAGCATGATCTCGTAGGGTGGTGGACCGCTCTGTGGTACGCGCAGTACTTTGGATCCGTCACTTTGCTGGCCCCTTCTTGATCCACGATCGCCGGCAACTGGATCTTGTTGTTCTCCAACAGGTATTTGAAGATGCCGGGAACTTCATCATCCTTGAAGGAGTACACTTTAGGAAACCTCGGCTCCGCAGATTTCTGCTTCTGAGGCCGTTGTTGCCATTGTCCTCGAGATTGTTGGGGTGCTTGTTGCTGTGGCTGCTGTTGCTGTGGTTGCAATTGAAAGGTTTGATTAGCATCAACTGCATTAGCTTGTGCCTTACCTTTCCCCCGTGGGACGAAGTTTTGCTTTGGAACACTCGTCGCCGGTTGGCCTCTTTCCGCCTTCTTCCTCTTGAGGAATCGCTCAGCTTGCTCTCCCCGGACTTTCAAGTCCTTCCATGTATTGGATGGTGCTGTCCCCATTGCTTCTAGCACGTCCAACGCGAGGTTGTTGTGGCAGGTCTGGAGGATGAATTCCTCGGTGATCGGGTCCCGGCAATTCATCGCCTTGTTCCGGAATCTTTTGACGAAGGTATCGACTAACTCTCCGTCCTTCTGCTTCTCATCGAGCAACGATCTAAAATTAGAACTAATTTGTTATAAATTAGAACTAACTTGTTATAAAATAGAACTAGCTTGGTATAAATTAGAACTAATGTGGTTTAAATTAGAACTAACTTGTTATAAAATAGAACTAACTTGATATAAATTAGAACTAACTTGGTATAAATTAGAACTAACATGGTATAAAATAGAACTAACTTGGTATAAATTAGAACAAACTTGGTTAAAATTTTAGAACTAACTTGTTATAAAATAGAACTAACTTGGTATAAATGAGATATAACATGGTATAAATTAGGTTTATAACGTGGTTTAAATTAGAACTAACATAAATTAGATATAACGTGGTATAAATTAGATATAACGTGTAATAAAATAGAACTAACAAGCCATCACACGCTACAGACTTGAACTAACACTGTGCAGAATAGAACTAACACTGTGCAGATTAGAACTAACACTCTACAGAATAGAACTAACACTGTGCAGATTAGAACTAACACTCTACAGAATAGAACTAACACTGTGCAGATTAGAACTAACACTCTACAGAATAGAACTAACACTGTGCAGATTAGAACTAACACTCTACAGAATAGAACTAACACTGTGCAGATTAGAACTAACACTCTACAGAATAGAACTAACACTGTGCAGATTAGAACTAACACTCTACAGAATAGAACTAACACTGTGCAGATTAGAACTAACACTCTACAGAATAGAACTAACACTGTGCAGATTAGAACTAACACTCTACAGAATAGAACTAACACTGTGCAGATTAGAACTAACACTCTACAGAATAGAACTAACACTGTGCAGATTAGAACTAACACTCTACAGAATAGAACTAACACTGTGCAGATTAGAACTAACACTCTACAGAATAGAACTAACACAGTGTTAGTTCTATTCTGTAGAGTGTTAGTTCTATTCTGCAGCGTGTTAGTTCTAATCTGTCTGTAGCGTGTGAGTTCTAATCTGCAGATTAGAACTAACACTCTACAGAACGGAACTAACACTGTGCAGATTAGAACTAACACGCTACAGAATAGAACTAACATAGAATAAGTTAGAACTAACAATGCATAGGTACGAATTAGAATGAAACAAGATCAGTAAAATATGGAACTTACACACAATAGTGTCATGCAACCTGGGACATATGCGACCTTTTGCTTCTTCTTTCCCTCCAAAGCAACTCCAATGCCCCTGATAATTTCATTATAAAAGAACGGGGCCCATGCAACAGAATTGACCCTCTGAATGCTATCCAGGTACCTGAGTAAGGGTCTAGGGATACCTTCCCCTGCTATGGGACTCCATATCATAGAGCATTGGTACAAAATTTGTAGCAGAGCAAAATCCTCGATATCCCGCTTTTTGGTAGATTCAACAAGCCGTTCAAGTAGCCCTTCAAGATGTTTACGTTGGCTGGTTTCTGATTTTTTTAACTTCTTACCCTCTTCAGAAATGAAAAGCTTAGCGAAGTATTCCAGCCATATTCTGCTTCTTGAGTCCCTATTGTTCCTTATGTCCTCCCCATAAATTGGGAAATAAGTATGGTTGTGGACCCATTGCAAATCAAAACTAACATTTTTCATACCCCCACTTTTTGAATCAGGTATACAAAAGGTGTTATTATCTCTATCGAAAAAGCTCAGCAGCAGCTCAAGGGTGGGCCGATCAGCCGCAGGAGCCCCAAACAAAATGTAGTGCTGAAATATAGAACCGCAGTATGCATCCCTATGCCACTGACGGATCTTCGGGGCAAGGCGCTTCATAAATGCCCAATAAGCCCCGATATTGGCCGTTAACCTTAGTGTTTCTGCTGAGCCTGTTAGAGCAATTTTTTCCCTGCAAAAAATTTTCGAATTTGTAAGTTCAATAAGACATATGAAACAATATTAGACCTAGCACTAACGGGAACAAAATAGAGCTAACACGTAATATTATAGAACTAACATTGGACTCATATTAGAACTAACATTGGACTTAAACTAGATCTAACGTTGGTATAAATTTAGAACTAACATTGGACAAAGCCTAGAACTAACAATATTGGGTTAATCTGCATTGTCTCTTCGCAGTATAACATAAGCCTAGAACTAACAATATTGGGTTAATCTGCATTGTCTGTTCGCAGTATAACATAACACTTACTGTTTTTTTGAGGGGGGTTCGTTGGTACGACCAGCCATTGTCGTCCTCCTTTTCTGGTCTCGCCATTGTAATGCCTCCTTTTGCATTTCGATTAGGGTTTTCGTAGCTTCCGTAGCTTCCTCCGTGCTGCCACCCGCAGATGAAGCGCCTTTTCCTTCCAACTCGGCTCGGTGCCCGACCTCGTAGTCGTTACTGGATTCTTCCGTAGACGACATTTTTCCGGCGAAAACCCTAGAAACGTTGAAATTCGTACAGAAATTAGGAAGATGAAGAGTTCTTGATGACGGTGCTAGGTGGAAGAGAGAGAAAGAGAGGGAGAGTACTTGTAAAGGTGAGGGGCACATTAACCCAGCTCAGTCCCATCAGAGGGCAAGATCGTAACTTCCTCTGGCTTTTTCTGAAAAAAGTCAATTCGGGGCCTCGTCGCAAATACTATGCGTATTTGGGGCTATTCCACATGGGGCAAAGTACAGGGGGGCTAGTCACATGAAGTTCCCACTTTTGGGGCCTGGACACATTTTTTCCTAAGAATAAAGAAAAGTTTACATTTTTGACACAAAACCCCGAAGCACAGCAAATCCATCGTCTCCACTTGAAAAAAAAACCATAATCAACAACGATGTGGTCTATAATCGAATACATTCCCACAATAACCAACATCAGATACCTAAAAATCCCAAATTGTAGCTAAAATTGCACAAATTCAACATGCAATTAAAGTGAAAATAATTTTATCTTAAAGAAGATGAAACTCTAGCCCAAAGTACAGCCAAATTGCAAGATTTCCCCTTCTCCTACCTTGATTTTAGATTGCAATTTGCTATTCCCTCTCTAAGGCGCAAAAATTCTGAGAAGATGTAAGAATTGGGGTTTTTTAAAACCATTTGATAAGAGTTTTAATAAGGACGTGTTAGGAAAATAAAAGGGTCTTTTTATTCTTAACACGTAAAATATTAATAGCGTCACTGTTTTTTAATAGAAAAAAGTTTGGATAATTTAAATGATATGTTTTACAAGTGGGATCATATAAGTAAAACACTAGGAAACTTTGGGCCATTTAAGTGTAATTTACCCTTAAATGTGCTTTTCAAATTTTTGATTGATTGGAATTGAACATTGATTTTAATAAGACTCCGGAGCCTACATTACGCATGAGTACTAGAGAAAGTGCGATTCATGATCACAAGAGTTTGCATAAGAAAGAGATTTGATTCAAAATAGGAGTCTATTAGAATTATCTTACTAGGAAAGTTTGAGTCTATTAGGAATTGTTTTTTATTAAGAAAGTTTGATGAGGAAATTTTGAGTTCACTAGGAATTATTTTTTATTAAGGATGTTTGACTAGAAAAGTTTTCATTGTAGTAGGAATTCTCTTGAGGCTATATGGCTGATCCTAGCTAGGTTTTTAATCTTTATTTCTGTAATAATTATAATAGAAGACATTGATCTTGAAGCTATTGTATTTCATTGGATTTTTGGGATCTAGTCTTGGATTTCTTGGGCTATTAGATCACTTAGAAACCCTAGAACGACACTTACCTTTTCGATCAAATTGAAGGAGGAAAAGGAGAGAAAGGGGATTTAAATCTCTGTTATAAGTGTTTTCAGCAGGTTTGAACACAAAACGAGCGGTCGAATGCAGCCCAAAAGAACCACATCGCGAATACTTAAAGATTCGAGCTTGACAGTTTCCCTTCGAGTGAGACGATCGATGATGTCTCGCACATGCGAGACAACGTATACTGTCTCGCACACGCGAGATATCATAGACAGTCTCGCACGAAAGACTTCTTTTTAGTGTGATTTTCGCTGCATCCTTAACTCATTTCCAGTACATCTATAATACTCCGATGAGCATACGAGTATAAACCGCTTCTATGTGATACTCCGATGAGTATACGAGTATAAATTACTTCTCAGTGATACTCTGATGAGTATATGAGTATAAACTTCTTCTCTGTGTTACTTCGATAAGTATACGAGTATAAACTACTTCTCCGTGGTACTCTGATGAGTATATGAGTATAAACTGCTTCTCCGTTAACCTTTAACTGGTATACGAGGTTAAACTGCTCCCTACACTCCGATAAGTATACGAGTATAAAGTGCTTCTTCATGCTCCAACCCCTTAAGAGCTTAAACTGTGTAGACTCCAACTACGTACAAGTATAAACTGTGGTTACACCTCAGCAGAAGTCAACATCTGGCTATACACCAGCAGTTACGCCAAGATTTGACTTAGGGTGGTTCTATTCCAAAAATACCCCTGGGAGTTCAATTGTAATTCAACTATGAGAGAGTTCATATCGAGAGAAAGACCGATAAGTCCTAATTCCGATGACTCAGAGACAAGTCGTTCACCGACCGTTAGAGAAATCGCTAACGAGTTTGAAGGAATCTACCAACGCACTCGGACGCGAACAGGAGCCATTCCCCCTGTCAACTATCGGAGGTTAGCCACAGGAACTATCGGAAGAGGGAAAGCCTCAGGTCCTAGTTCCGATGACTCTGAGATAAGTCGTTCATCGACCGTCAGAGAAATTGCTAACGAGTTTGAAGGAATCTACCAATGCACTCGGACGCGAACGGAGCCATTCCCCCTGTCAACTATCGGAGGTTAGCCACAAGAACTAATTTCGATAATGAACATTCAGCCATTGCTGAGTCTCAATCATCAAGCTCTTTCATTGGGCATGAGAGCTTCACCCACATGGCAGAACATTCTGAAGATCTTTCAAAGAGGGTTGCTGAGCAAGACGCCATGCTCAAATCACAGCAGAAGACCCTCAATGAACTCTTGGCCATATTGACGCAACTCGTCGCAGACAAGGCCAAATCTCAGAAGACATATTCGCCACCCAGGCAAGAATCTTCCCGGAGAGGAAAAATGTCTTCATCCCGACCTCACACAAGCAAAGGGAAGGGAAAGGTGGTTGATGACACGGCTTCTGACCAAGAAGACCACAACCTGGAATCTTCCTCTGATGAAGGAAGAGAGACGGAGAACGAGCAGAATCTCCAGTCTGCCAAAATGGAAGAATTAGAAGCCCGCCTCAATGCCATTGCTAACAGAAGCGAGCTCCATGAAGAGGGAGTTGTCAGGCCCTATCCTGCCGAATGGGATACAGCCCCTTATCCTCCTAAGTTTGAGGTCCCGACGTTACAAACTTTTGACGGCACAGGATCACCGAACCAACATATTTATCATTTCAAGTCACAGACTGGGAATGTAATATCAAACGACGCCATACTAGCTCGATTGTTCATTGGCACCCTCAAGGGAGTTGCCTTTGAATGGTTCAGAAAACTACCTGCCAGATGTATCCAAAGGTGGGCAGATTTAGAGAGACTATTCCTATCAAGATTCTTTGAAGATGATACAGAAGTCTCCATTCATCCCCTTCTCGCCACTAAGCAGAAGAAGAGGGAGTCCGTCAAAGCCTTCGTCAAGAGGTTTCGAAACATGGCTCTTCAATGCCCGACAGGTATGACACAGTCTACCTTAGTGGAGACCTGTCGACACAACTTGCAAACCGACCTTCTAGCACAAATGAGGGTTACAGAATGCCGTTCCTGGAGACAACTAATTTCTCAAGGCGAACAGGCTCAAAAGATTATTGACAGGATCAAAGCTGAAGAACAAAGTAGGCAGGATCAACCTGAGCAATCGGACCAAGCACAATCTTCTCATGAGCAATCGGACCAAGCTCACTCTTCTCAGTCAGAACCGGAAGATACTACGGCCGCTGAAGCCAATCCTTTCCAGTAGGATGGCGGGTCTAACAACTATCACGTTAACAGTTACCTCTGATAGTCAAACTCGTTAGACAGTGGCTCACTAGGCGATGTGTCATGTCCACCATTTCCCCTCTGCACTTGTTCAAGACTGGGGGTTGGTTTATTTGTAGTAATAAATTTTCTGAGTTGTTATGTTTAATAGAATACCTCTGTCAACCACAAAATCTACCAAATCTATCACGTTAACATTTACCTCTGATAGTCCATCAAGTTGCTAATCCTCTTCAGTAGGATGGCGGGTCCACTAAAACTATCACGTTAATGATCACCTCTGATAGTCTACCTTCCTCTAAATTCTCCCACCAATCCTCTTCAAGTAGGATGACGGGTCCACCAAAACTATCACGTTAACCGTCACCTCTGATAGTCCTTTTCCTCCAAATTCCCCCACCAATCCTCTCCAGTAGGATGACAGGTCCAATAACTATCACGTTAACATTTACCTCTGATAGTCAAACTCATCAGATAATGGCCTACCAGGTGATGTGCCTCTATTCCGATTTCATGGATAGTGCCCCACTAGGCGATGTGCCTTGTTTATCTCTTTTTATTCCCCTGCTAAGTCTTAATCAAGACTGGGGGTTGGTTACTTGGAATCCATTGGATTAAGAGTAACGAATCTTTCACATCGTCGAATTAACATTACACTTCTGACGATTATCATCCCCACAGAGTATGCATTCAACTCGCATTACTCCTAATTTGTCACGTTAACAATATACACCTCTGACAATCAACTTATCAATCCTTACCAATAGGATGATAGGTCCTCAAAATTGCGCAAATTGCAATCTTCCCCAGCAAGACGCTAAGTCTTCAAAATCTTGTTTAAATCACAGGTATCAGAACTCATCGTTCCTGATGATAAACTCACCTAGCAAGTTTCCCCAGCGAGACGCTAGTCCCCAAAATCTTGTTCAAATCACAAGTACACATTCTCTTGTCATGTTAACACCATACCTCTGACAATCCACTTATCAATCCTCGTCAATAGGATGATAAGTCCACAAAGTTGCTCCAATCGCAACACATTCTTGTCATGTTAACACCATACATCTGACAATCCACTTATCAATCCTCGTCAATAGGATGATAAGTCCACAAAGTTGCTCCAATCGCAACACACACCTGTCACGTTAACAATATACCTCTGACAACAACCCACTTATCAATCCTCGTCAATAGGATGATAAGTCCACAAAGTTGCTCCAATCGCAACACATTCCTGTCACGTTAACAATATACCTCTGACAACAACCCACGTATCAATCCTCGTCAATAGGATGCTAAGTCCACAAAGTTACTCCGATCGCAACATTCTCTTGTCACGTTAATATCAAACACCTCTGACAAAATCAACTTATCGACTCTCGTCAATAGAGCGATAAGTCCTCAAAGTTGCTCCGATCGCAACATTCTCTTGTCACGTTAATATCAAACACCTCTGACAAAATCAACTTATCGACTCTCGTCAATAGAGCGATAGGTCCTCAAAGTTGCTCCGATCGCAACACTTTCCACTTATCGACTCTCATCAACGGAGCGATAGGTCCATA